GCAGGAATAGACTAGAGGAAGACCCAACGCAGCATTGGAGGAAAAAGACTGGAGTGGACCCCTTGTTTTATTACTCAGACAATTTTTGAAAACTCTATCAGGATCTGCCTTCACATGGTACAGCAAGTTAGTTCCGGCCTCTATCACTTCATGGGTGTAATGAGGGTGATGCGAACACGGCCTTTTTCTAAGCTAAGTTGCCCATTTATGATTCATATATTAAGCCTAGTAACCTGGTTGTCAGGGCTTTTGATGGAACTAAAAGGGAAGTCATAGGCGATTTGGAATTGCCTCTTGGAATAACAAACTCCATGTTTTAAGGATATATCTAGGAGATATGCTTGTTAACTTGTTATTCAGATATTGACGCTACTAAAAGTCTCGTTCAATCTAATAAAATTTTAAAAAACCGTTTAACATGAATATTTTTCTTCTTTTTTTTTTTAAAAAAAAAAAAAAATATCCTAGTCAACAAGAATGAAAGAAAGTGCATTGTACGTAGTATTTGACGGTTATTATTTCTACTGTCAACATTGATATTAAGTGCATTAATTACCCAGTTATCTACACATAAACATTTTAATATTAACATCCATATATTAGAGATGCTCTTATAGCAAGGTAGGACTACAATCGCCTTACAACTTAGTAGGCAGTCATATAAGTGATATAAGTTGATAGTTAATACCTTATCAATCTATTGATGTAAGAAGCACGCAAAGAAAAGCCAAACAATTAAGCAAAGTTGGTTTGAAAGCATCTAAATGACGGTATAGATATGTGATCGACTACATGCATCAATTGTTGTTACTCTAACCAGCCACGTTATAATAAATTAGTTTCTCGTTCATTTCTGGTTCACGCTCAATTTACTAGTCTGTCAATAAATGTAATAGAAGTACTAGAATTGGAATTTCTATAGTAAATCTAAATCAATAGAACTTCACTTACGAAAACGTAGAGCATGTTTGTTTATAAGAACTAGTGCGTTCTCGTGTGATGCACGAGAAAAAAATATTAAATAAGTTATTTTCACAGCCTTGTCCATTTAAGTCTAAAAAGTAACATGGCTATTATCTATTTTCAACCTCTTTTAATCAACGTTAAGTCGAAAAAACAATAGGTTTTATTCTTTTTTCCACATCTTTTAACTAGCGTTGTTTGCCAGAACATTAAATATGAGAATGTTAGGGCTAGCTTGTAAAATAATTAATATATTATCTAACTAAAACATTTTATACTAATAAAAAATTTAATTTTAGCATATAATTTATCCCTTTATATAAGAGAAAGTAACAGTTTTACTTCTTCTTGTTCACCGTATAATATTTAATTATTATTTTATTATATAATAAAAAGGAATAATGTTAAATAGTGTAGTAGAATTATTATAAAATTATATGAATTATTGTTTTTTACAATATGGATTTAATATTTTTTTTTTATGATTTGATAATATAACTATAATATATTCTTAATGATATAATAATATAAGATACGGATTTATATAATACTATGGACCTATTCCTTAATGTTAAGATATTGAATTAGGTAATATATGATTCACTAATTTGTAATATGTCTCTTTTTATATTGAAAAAAAATCATGTGATTGAGTATAGATAACAATTATATATAAATTTCTTCATTTAAGAAATAATTTTTAAATTGGTCCAAGTATTGAATGCTGCTCGATTTTCTTGTAACTAAAATGAAAAGAGATTTTGAATTTCAAATTTTCACTTCAAAACCACACGTAAATTTGGATGCAGGTTTTATTAAAAATGAAATTCAACAAAACTCATAATTTTAGAGGCATTTAATGTTACCCTATTTTATGATTTAAAAAAACTAAAAACTTTCTAAATATGGTGTGCAATTAATTATGAGTTGACTTTTCTTCTTACTAATTCTAGCAAATGGGATGACTTTTTGTATAAGTATAGATTTTTAAAATAAAAAATTCAACATTTTAACTCAATCACTTTTTTTAACTCAATTTTAACTCAATCTCACAATCATCAATATAATCAATATAATTAAATAATCTCAATAAAAGCTCAATACTCGAATATTACAATAAGAACTCACATTTTTTAATCTTTCTCAATTCTCTCCCCAAAGAAACCAATAAAAGCTCAATACTCGAATATTACAATAAGAACTCACATTTTTTAATCTTTCTCAATTCTCTCCCCAAAGAAACCCTACCTCAGTGGCAAACTCCTCTAATTCCCGGCGATTTCTCCTTCTTCGGTGTCGGTTAGTCACGGCCAAGGGTCGTCGATGACCGTTCCGGCCTCCTCTGATGTCGTGCGCTCCTGATTCTCGGTAGATGGAATGCGATTGGACTTTAGCTCGCAGTTGCGGTCTGCGGTCAGGGGTTCTAGCGGCGGCGCCATTCCCGGTTGGTGTTTGGTGGTGGAATTCCTCCGTTGCTGGCGAAGCTCTGATCGGAGATGGTAAGTCCTTTGTCCCTCTTGTCCGTGACTGCTGGGTTGACTTTCCAGCGAAGCTCTGTCTTTTCAAGCGAGTTAGAGATTCTGGCGGGGTGTCTGTGGAGAGGTCGGGCGGCGCACGGGTCTTTGGTTGGACGGGACTCCGGTGACTGAGACGTTTGGTTGCGGTGGTCGGGGTGAGAGTCGTTTCTCTCGCACAATCCCTCGATTTACCTAGTGGTGTTAGGCGGCGGGGGAGGCTCTATCGGTTTCGTCTAGTGGTGTTAGATGAGTTCGGGTGGTTCGGTGTGGGGTTGACTTGGCTCTCTCGGTTATTGATGGGTCGGTTTGGGGACTGGTTCGGGGTTAGGTTTCTTCTACTGTATAGGCTTAGTTGCAGTTTCGGTAGCAGACTATTGGCCCAGATTTATCTTGTGTCGATCGTTCACTGCTGGTTCGGGCTAGCTTGTTCGCCGAGGAAGAGCTGTTAGTTTAGTTTAGGTTATTGTGTTTTCGTTTTGTGTTTTCTTGTAGTTTGGTCTGTGTCTTGTGTTTTTTGTTTCGGTCGTTGGTCCATGTGAGCCTGAGTGTCAAACTTATTATCCTGTTGGAATCCGACACTCGGGTATTACCCTGTTGGGGTCCTTGTAGTCGTTTTAGTTATTTGTGTTGCTGGTTAGTTTAGTTGCGAGCGTTTTTTTATTCTAGCGTTGCTAGTCGGGATTCTAAGCGGTTTTCTAACCTGTCCTGCCACTTTTTCAGCTGTTAGCTGTTGTGTATTCAACTTTTGGCTACTGTGTATTCGCACATTTGTACATTTTGATTTATAATATCGTTTCGGGAAAAAAAAATTTCAATAGGATTTCCTGTAAATATTTAAATGTTATAATTTTTGTAGGAATTTTTTTAACCAAAACTCAAATGGAGATTAATATTAAAATATTACATTGAAATTATTTTTCCTTGAAAATCCAATTGCAAATTGAAGTTTCGAACAACAAAATTTCCAATTAGTTGGATTCGATAAATGTCAGTAGAAATCTCAACGAAATTCATCCTTTGACTATTATAATATACATTATAATTCTGGTAGAATATATTACCATTGAAACATTGTCATTTTATTTTTTTTTTATTTTTTTTTATTTTATTTTATTTTTTTTTTTATTTTTTTTTTAATTTTTTTTTTTTGCGTTTCTAGATAATAAATACAAACGGATAATTCACTAGCTGTGGATGCAAAACAACATATATAAAAGGGCTCAAAGGTGGCATTTCCATTATATATATGGAATGAATATAACGTGGGATTAATCAAGATAGACAGATGAGATAGATGCCTTTCTATCCTTTGATAAAAAGCAAAAGCAGTGGCAATAATTTTTTGCTTGATTGGTCTCATGACTTTCCTTCTCTCCATTGCTTACCTTTTGAGTTTTTGTATGTATTACAATTTTATTTCGAGAGATGCTATAGGTACATCATATTGTAACCAACCGAAATATCCCACAATTTCAACCAAAATGTACCACAAGTGTCTCCAAAAATCTCTCAAGCTATCCCGTATTAGGTTCGTTGTAGTTTTAGTGTTCTAATCTCTCTTTGTTTTTTAGTTTCTGTGGTGTTGTTTGTCTGTAGCCCGCGTATGGCTTCGAAGAGAATGAGATGAGTGTTCCTTAGTACTCCTTGGTTCTATTGCTCGGTTTTCTCCTTTTCTTGAGCACACGGACTTGTAATCCTGTGATTACCTATTGCAAACTTTGGTTGAGTTCAATGTTATTTGAGGTATCGTTTGGGAAAAAAAAAAAAAAAAGTATGTTGATCTATGCCTCCAACTCAACCAAAATGTACCACAAGTGTTTTGTGCCGAGTAAAATGTACCACAAGTATCTCTCAAGGTCTCTCAAGCTATCAATGAGTACGTTGGTCTACGCCTCCTTTTTCATAAATGAAATCGTACCATAAAATGTGAATTTAAGAAATGTACTTAGACTGAAATCGAAGTAAATGTTATTCATGTGCCAAAAAGTAAATAATGCTTTCACTTTCAAAGAACCCTAAAATCAAATCAAATGAATATAGACCGTTGTCATTTTATCATCTTTTGTCTATCGTCTTCATGATATGTCAACATAAATTCCAATTTTAACATAAAAACTAAACCTCAATAAACTGTGATATTTCAAGGGTTAACTCAGAACCACATTGAGTCTCAGGACTCTCAACTTGCTTTCGAACACCAACTTTAATACGATGGAAAAAAAGTCAAATATCAGAATGACGCATTCGGGATTTACACACACACACACACACACACAAGGCATGACAAGGTACAAGATTGTGACCTAAATATTACCATCAAAACAGAGATAACATTTATGTTCGTAACATGGATATTAATCGAAGATCAGAAATCCAACCAGATATTGCTCCTGTAACTTATCTCCACCATTAAGATTATCTTGTCCTTACAATTCCAACATACTGCTAAAAATCAACTTTTTGATGTCCCAATAGTCGAAATCTTGTCCCTTACCACAAAAAGATTAGGCAAGTGAGGTTTCAAGCAGATTGCAATCCTGGTTCTGAGGCAATTTCTTCTGTCTTTTTTGAGCAGGGAATGTACTTCCAGCAGCGCTTGTGGACCCCGCTTATTTTCTTTGGTTCATCTGCAGCTCGAACACCTGCAAATTGGAATAACTCCATTGCATCATGTCTTATTAGCTTATATTTGTACCATACCAAAGAAACATCTAACTTCCATTGATGGCTAGTTGCAAAAATTATCCTCGTGTTAGACTTAAAGACAGAAACTCAATTACCTTCGGAAACTACAAATACCCACCCAAATATTGTTTGTCATGTAAAGATGTACCTTCAAGAGGATCCAAGGAAGGTAACCGAATGGTAATACGCATCTGGATGGGGGTATACTTGCAATTTCAGAAAATAAATGTGGGGTTGTTTTCTGTTATAAGACTAGACTAACCTCCACGGAACTTTAATATTTTATCCCTTTCAGCAATGATCTTCAGATGATTAAGAATGCAACCTTTTTCACGTTTCAACTCAACAATAACCACCAAATAGTAATAATCATAAAACTAATAGTCATAGCAATAAAGCCCTTGTAAGGTGCCAACAAAAGCCCTCCACAGATTTGCCTTTTTCATAACACATCTCCCCAGGGATGCACTTTGTAAAACTAAAATGGAAACAAGTATCATAAGATAGCTGGGATTTATTGTAAAATGCTAAACCTCTTGTGCATTTATGTAATTGACTCTTCTTCTAAAGATGAGTAACCACAAGCAGTAACATGTATTAAGAGAACATAACTAACTACAGACATCTATAATTACATATCAATTAGGTTCAGATACGGTGGGTTATGACTACAAAGACATTAGCTAGCAAAATTTAAAGCATTTAAAATTGGATTATTCACATCAGCGGGAACCAACATGAAATCAGTGTATGATAGTGTTTTATTGTTTGTATTTTTTTGCTGTAAATCTGTAAATATTGGTTTTCTTTAAAAAATATTGTCACAGCAGATTCTTCATTTCTGGATCATCTCACATGCATCAACCTTTTGCTAGTTGATGGATTTCTTTCACGAGTTGTTGACCAAAATATCCCAATGCAGAAACTCAAGTAAATCTAACATGATTGATTACCTGCAGGCCTATGAAGACCATAATCTTATCAAATACCATCTTAAGACACTACAATCTATGAGCAAAAGGTAAATGGAATCGGAGAATTAAACTCAAGTTGTGCAGAACAACCAAACAGAAAAAAGAATAATGAAAAAGTAAATTCAAACTTATGAGAGAAATGTAAAGAAGTAAAGCTCTTTTATGTTCCATTTTACTTTCTTCTTTCACACAACGTCCATAACAGATATAAACACTACACAAACTGAACCATGCACCTAACAGAGTTAAAACACTTTAGGATCATAATTTAGAAGGATAATTTCACAATCAATCATGTTAGTCATGTTTCAATGTTGATGTTACAAGAATACGCAGCGACCTACCATAAATCCATCCCAAAACTTATTCACTTCATTTGGAAATCATGACAGCTGAGCAGGACAATTTTGAACTGCAAGGAAAAATAGCATTTTTGCCCTCCACTATGATTCACATTGTTTCCCCTTGAAAATGGCAACCGAGTAGAAGCAACGAGTCTAGGCGAAAAATGATCTCAGCACATAATATATACCCTCTAGATCTAAATTTCTTTATTTAAGGCTCATGGAGTTGAAAAACGAAGCAAAGAAAAAATACTATAGCTTACACCCCACATTAAATAGACAGTGAAACAGACTATCTTTTATCCTGAACCCATGAATAATTTTCAACTCATCATATAAAATGACAAATTCGATCAACATAGAAAGACATACCATCCTTATGAGCAATCCCCCAAGCCTTACCATGTCGCCCGTCCTGGGAAAAAAAATGTTAAAATGAAGAAGAGCAAATGAAAGGAGATACTGCAAATCCTTTTTAATAACATCAAAACAACTCGATTAACAATTAATACAATGTCCATTACGATGTATTGAGATTTATATCGATTATATACAGCAACAGAAGAACAGAACAGATTAGAAGAGAAAGTAACCTTATAGAGGTTAATTTTAGTAATCTCGTAAGAGACCCCAGTCCAGTGAGTTTTTGCCATGTGATAGCCAATACCCCAGTTAGGCAGAAACTGAGCAACCTCAAACAGGTTCTTTTTCTTCTTCCGCTTCGGCTTCTTAGGTCCATCACCCGGCACCGCCGTACTCACGGCGGAATTGTTGGTGGACGTGGCGGTGCTCAGATTGCGGAGGAAACTGAAGGCGCTTCTAAATAGGACCGATGTACTTTCAACCGTTGATGGTGTCCTTCTCGCCAATAGACGGATTGCCATTTCCACACTATTGAGCAGCTCTGATCACTGAATGAGCTGTATTAGGTTTAAGAGGGTTTTAAGCTCCGCTTAGCGGAGCCTAGTTCAGTATTTCTAAGTGTTCTAAAAACGCGTATATCGTACTACGTCATAATAGGAATTTCATATTTGACTGTAATAATCAGAACAGTATTCATGTAAAATTTTACATATAAACCATGTAACATTTTTATACATGATATTCTTGATGCAATGGTTAAAAACCATGTAACTGGAGATTGAAATTAACCCTTTTATCCGAATGGAAGTTTGGGAAAAAAAAAAAAGAGCTCTTAATAAACTGAGGCATAAATAATTTTGGGTCATCCAGATTTTATAATCTATCCTCAAAACACATCAAAGAAATAGGCAAATACAGATCAAAGAAATTCAATCCTCAGAACAGCAAGAATCAGTTAATCGTTTATATCTCACTCTATTAATTTAACAAATTATCATGCCAATGATCAGAAAACCTAATAAATAATCAAGTGAATGAAGAAGAGGCCCGATTTCAATTTGAAGTTATGATGAAGCTATTCATAATCTCCAATGGAAAACAAAATATTACATTTGGAGTCGAGAGCCGAGGAGCAGGTGATGTAGGGTAGCAAGAGTCGAGCAGCAGGGACTTTGGGGGTGGCGAGATGTGAGAAGCAGGTTGGTTGTGAGGAGACTGAGGTGGAGCCGTGGAGGCGGCGGAGTTACTACTCTCGTCGGGATGTGGTGGAGCCGTGGAGGCTGCAATGGAGGAGGCTGCGCCGGAACTGGAACCGTGGAGAGTGGGATGATGAAGAGGTGAAATGAGGGTTTGTGGCCAACTTTGACTGCCTTCTATTTTTATTTATTTTTTCGATTTATTTTATGCCTATAATATTGACACTTAGGCTGTGTTTGGATAACAACGTTTCCGACAAAAATTAGTTGTTTGCACATCACCCCTATATATAATTGCAGAATGCGGCCTAAGTGGCAGTTTCGCATGTTTCGAAATCCTATTTAACGAAAAAACATACTTCATAGTTAGATTTGAATAAAAAATAATATTATTCTTTTTTTTTTGGTACAAAAAGATAATATTATTCTAAATCAACAATTTTAAATTCAGACATTCTAAAAATATTAAAAAACTAACTTTGTAATTCCATAATAATTTTATTAATATAACCTTTAAGTTGTATTCTTTTTAAGGAAAATGTTGTACTACTGTTATACTGCATTTTAACAATATTTAAAAGAGAAGTTCAATCTTATTAATTCGTCTAATTTATTACATGTTCATTATTTAAATTTTTATTGTTATTATCATTATATAAAAAATTTATTGTATGGTCAAATAGCCAATGTTTATCTTGCGGACCTATATATAT